GAGGTGAGGGGTTTGTGGCAGAAAGTGAAGACGAAAGCAGACAACAAAGCATTGCTAGAGAGCAGGAAAGAAGGGGAAAGGAGACAATTTTAGAGAAGAAAATTTTCCGGTCGCTACCCGGATTCAAACCCGGGACCTTTGAATGAGAGTCGAACGCCTCAATCTTCAGGCCACGAGAGCCCCCAATCCGTAGTTTGGTATCACAGCGTTTTTCTTACATCTTCACCGGCATCATAACTATCTTTATAAATAGGTAGAATACCTTTATGTCTGTTATTACACAGTTTGTTTTAAATTCTGTAACAATACCTGGTTCTTTCAGTTTTGTTGAATCGAAACATTTTTGGATTGTATTTTTCATTAGCCTGAAACTTCTGCCTGCAAGATGAATAAAGATAGTCATTGTTTCTCACAATGAATTGTGTTGACCGAAACGTAAACCATGTACAGTTTCGATATTCGCTACCTGTGCTTTCAGGTTCCTGAAGAAAGTTCAGGTGTACTCCCGGCGCACCGATGAGTTCCTAACCTTTGTATGCGACGCCTGGCTCAACTCGAAGAAACCACGCGCCATACTGCCAGCCTCCGCCGTCAATCGAGGCTGGGTTGGCATCAGTCTGCTTAGGTTTTTGCGGTGGATGAAGAACTTACACGTCATATTAGCCCTTCTGGTGGCTGTGCCCGGCTACAAGTACAAGCGGGTATTTCCATGTTGTCTTTTATAAATGAGAAAGATAGATAGATAGATAGATAGATAGATAGATAGATAGATAGATAGATAGATAGAGATAGATAGATAGATAGATAGATAGATAGATAGATAGACAGATTGAAGTAGCGGTGCGGACAGACTGACAGACAGACAGACAGGTAGACAAACAAAGTGAGGAGTAGATTCACGAGTCGGTCAACTCTGTCTTAAGTAACCATTGCTCCTTTTAAACATAATACCACTTTGATTTGCGTCACGGCGTGTATACAAACCCATGCACACACAAACACACACACACACACACACACACACACACACACACACACACACACACACACACACACACACTGGGCTATTGTGCGGGTGACCATGAGTCGAGCCCCACAAGAGGCGTTCCTGAGTGTCAGTTGTTTGTGACGTTTTCAAAATTCTCTACCTACTTGGCTTGGTCATATCGGAGATAGACGTTAAATGTAGATTCCTGGCTTCATGGATAACATTATTGTATCATAGCACACCTTTTGATAGGCCTTTGTAGTGAAGTGTAGATAAAGCTGTATTGTTTAGATTCATCTCAGAATAAAAACACTTGGAAAAAAGACTTTGTGAGACACACTTTACCTATCCAGTAGTCTGGTTGACCGTGCACCACTGCTGATTTTGAAACCAGTTTCTTCCACTCCTCCCAGTTGTCAGCTTTCGTTATAAGATTATTCAGACACGGCCAGTCCACTCTTTGATGCTGTCTTCTAATTGTTTCCTCAGTCAGTCTCTTTATTTCCTTCATCGTGCTGTTCTCCTATGGGATGGCCTAAGCAAGTCCAGATGATCGCATGTGTCTGTGCAACTTCAGTATGATGGATGTATACTTAGGACAAAATCTTACCCCCTCCCCCTCGAAAAACCATGTCAGTGTCAGCCTCTGTCGTTCCTTGCAGGTACAGCAAGGCGTCCGAGCCTTCTGTGTGTTCCTGGCCTGCATGCACACATGCCTGGAGACGATTGGTCTACCCAAGGTGCGTCTGCAGGGCCAGTATGTTGAGCCAGCGAACCTGAAGGATGCCGCTTACAAAGGACTCTTCGTTTCCTTCATCTCCATGCTCACCAGTCTCTGCATGTCCATTATTTTCTTGTGGTTTGTTAAATTTGCTTCTTCTATTATCAAAATATTTCGAAAATCTTTAAAGAAATATTCCTGTTGTTGGAATTCTTTTGTTTCAGAATTCGTCAGCCAAAGTTTGCACTTTTAAAACGACATTTTGTTGTGCCCATCAGCATAACTAAGATGCTTTAGGAGACAGACTGCTTCGACCCTGCCTGCGAGGACAAGCCCAGTTGAGTGTGATTTGCAACTCAGGCTGGAATAGGATAATTAATCAAATATATCCTCTGTCTAACCATTACACTACATGCCCCCTATTTCATTGATTTATCTCATGACTTGTCTATGATCAATGGAGAACACCCTCCCTCAGACAGACTTTAAAAAGGAAGCCAAACGCTACTCCTGCAGTCTGTGGGAGGAACAAACTCCACTATTTCATTCCCGTTTTGAGCCCACGAAAACGTTCGGGTCTCTCCAGAGAAGTAGGAATGTTATTTTAACAAATTTCGTATTGGAGATACAACTTGTAGAGAGATGACAATAACATTTTGTGTCGGATGCGATGCTGACCTTATGATTAGGCTTATCCAAAAGAAATAATCATTAGACGCACTGATTTGCAAGAATTTACCCTCCGCTGTTGATCCCATCAGAATTCTCAATATTCGGCTATTCTCAATATTTGGCTATTAGTCTTTGCGGCAAACTGTAAATAATGTCTTTTTAATTTTCAGTTAATTACTGTTAATTTACAAATGAATTTCTACCTTTACTTATATTCCCAAATGTACTCTAACACTGAAGTACAACAAGACGTTGCTACAGGCTAATGTGAAAACCATCAACTTGAGCCCCATGCGTTCATATGACCTTGTGTTCTGCGAGGGCCCTAAAACTAATCAAAATAAACAATGTCTCGGTTTCTAGCTTATATCTCGTAAGTGTTATGTTTATACACAGGTTTTGTTGACGCCGCACCGGCCATTATGACTGATAGTTCAACACAACACGGTATTGGGTTTTACTTTTTGGTTAGACTAGATCCTTGGACGACAAAATAATATCGTTTTGATGGAGGGGGGGTGTGGCACTGGTACCCCATTATTTTCTTTTTTTTTCCCTTTCAGTCTGTTTTGTTCTTTCTCAAATCTAAACGGCAACTATAGTGTCTTTGTGCATCTCACTTTTCAAATCAAGTCTTGAAAGAGATATAGACACAGTATATACTAATTAAATAGAGCAATAGAGCAGCAGAGCCGACATGGCTTAGAGGTTGAAGTGCATAAATAAAGCCCAATTTTTGGATAGCAGTGTCCCTTGTTTGGGAGCGGATGGTTGGCGGGTGGACTGGAGTGGTTTGTTCCTTCTTTTCCATCAAACGTGTTTTTATATCATGATCTTTCATCCTTGGCGCTCATATGACCTTATGCAGTTGCAAGCAAGCGCTGTAAAACCTTACTAAAACTAATATTACTCTCTCATTCTTCTTTTAAGGTCAAATTAGATAAAACACAAAAGACAAAACAACTACACCTTTAGTCTGCGGCAGAAACATTGGAGCAAACAGTTAAACAATAAACTACACATGTCATGCCCAAACTGGGCCCACGAAAAAGTTCGGACCTCTCCAGAAGAGATACCTTTCTGACCCATAGGTATTTCCCTCCTTCACGGAGTATAGGGAGATGAAAACCCCTTCTGTGTCGGATGTGACACGGATTTTCACCATTAGACACACACTAACAGAATGTCGGGACTTTAGAGAGACCCAAAGAAAGTATTTAAAATCGTGTACAAAATTGAGAGATCTGTTCTCCGTCGTTGATCCCAACAGAATTTTCTATTTATTACAGGCCATTTGCAATCATAAAAATAAAAATATTATTATCTAAGAGAATGTAAAATTGTTGTTTTTTAGACAGAAATTTTTATAGTATCTTTTTTAACCTAAGCAATTGAACAAATTCAAGCAGTATTGTTAACTTTTGTGAATGCAATCAACTTGTGTTTTCCGTGCTCATATGGCCTTAGGCAGTTGTGAAGACCGTTGAAACTCTTACTTAACTAAACTAATCCTTCTTCCTTGGGCTTGATGCTCTCTTACAAGACCTCTAATCTCCAGCAGTTATTTAACCCTATGTATGTTACAAGTGCCGCAAAACTTTTGCTAAATCTAAAACTCTCTATGTTGGGGCAGCTCATTGGTTATATCCTTAGGCTCTTATTTACAGGCGTATACTGTTGGTGATGCACCCTCTACCTTATAATAACACACCCGCACCTTCCTCTTTTAGTTTTGACATAGTCGTGGCAACGTGTCATATTGTTTTAGCACCAGCAAGCAGGGAACGCTCGTTGAACAAATACGCAGTATAATAATTATTATATCTCACAGCATTTTTTTTTCTATTTTGATTGCTTTTCATTGGTATATTTTTTTACATTTTCTACTCTAAAATCTCTGAAGCCTCGCCTACCCTACCCTACTATTTCTGCAATGATGATGATGACGATGATGATGATGAGGATGATGATGCTGACGATGATGATGATGATGATGATGATGATGATGATGATGATGATGATGATGATGATGATGATGATGATGATGATGATGATGATGAATCTAACCTCCAGTTAATGTCTTTTTCTTACTTTTCTTTAACTTGTCATTTCCACCCGTAGCTGCATGCGGACAAGGAAACACAATCTGAACTGGCCAAAGTATCCCCGTCAGGAGAGAACTCGGGTTGAAAGCAAGATGAAGTCAGTCTTGTTGCGTGTGCTTGATGCTACTGCTCAGGAACGTCTCAAAAATTTTGCAGGGACAGAATCAGTCACTTCCGAAACCATAAGGGAAAGGTATGTCTGTCTGTCTGTCTCTCTGTCTGTCTGTCGCTCTGTCTCTCTGTCTCTGTCTCTGTCTGTCTGCCTGTCTGTCTGTCTGTCTGTCTGTCTGTCTGTCTGTCTGTCTGTCTGTCTGTCTGTCTGTCTCTCTCTCTCTCTCTATTTCTCTCTCTCTCCCTGTCTTTCTATGTCTCTCTCTCTCTTTCTCTGTCTGTCTGTTATTCTGACTGTCTGTCTGTTGCTCTTTCTATCTTCCCTCTCACTCTATCTATCTATCTATCTATCTATCTATCTATCTATCTATCTATCTATCTATCTATCTATCTATCTATCTATCTTTCATCTCTTCCCCCACCCTCTCTCTATCTCTATCTCTGATGTCTCTCTCAAACACTCTCTCTCTTTCTCTTTCTCACTCTTTCATTCCCACTCTCTCTCTCTCTCTCTCTCTCTCTCTCTCTCTCTCTCTCTCTCTCTCTCTCTCTCTTGCTTTCTTTTTCTTTCTTTCCCTCTCTTTTCTCTTTATCTCTTTATCATTCTCTCTCTCTCTCTCACTCACTCACTCACCCCACCCCTCTCTCTCTCTCTCTCTCTCTCTCTCTCTCTCTCTCTCTCTCTCCCTCTCTCTCTCTCTCTCTCCTATTTTCTTTCTCAGAATCTTTCTCTCAGTCCCTCTTGCGACTGGACACTATTTATCTGTCCATCTGCGCCAACCCCCACTCCCCTAATCAACAGTGACGATTAAGAAGTCTAAAAGGATTCCCAAATACTGGACCAATCAAAAGTGTTATTGGTGGGTAGTTGGCAGGTTCTTTGGTGTGGTTTGCGCCTTCATTCCTGGCAAACACGTATCGTCCTAATCTCTTCTCCATCTTTTTGGTGTTTGTTACTCTCTTGTAACACCTCTAATCTTCAGCATTTATGAAGTCTATGTTGCAAGTCCCTTAAAACTCTTACACAAACTTTTTAAAAAACTGATGCTGAAGGCCATTCCACAGACTATAACAAAAACATTTCTTCTGTCCTTGTTCTTCTGTATACAGATGTAGTGCTGATAAACATTAGTCTCTATCTCCAGGCAGCTCTCTTCAGACCCTACCAAGATCAGTACGAAGTTTTTAATCCAGCAACGGCTGTCAATTATGAAAGGTCACAGACCTTCAGGTGAAGATTTCAGTTCTTTTGATTTGTCGTGGCATTCTCATGGTTTTACTTTTTTACTTCAGCTTAGTGAGAACACATTGTCATTAGAATCCAGAAATCTGTGTGCTTATAATAAGTAAAGAAATAAGATCGCTATGCCTTTGCAGCACAAAAATCGATATGTTGCATGTCGTAGATAAACTTCATTGGGAAGCCTGTTCTCTAACTTGTTACCCGTGGTTGGTTGGCGGGTGCTCTGGTGTGGTTTGCTTCTTCTTTCCTATCAAACATCTATCGTCCTTATCTCCCCTTCATCTTTTTTTATGTTTGTTACTCTCTTGTAACAGCTCTAATCTATGGCCTTATGCAGTTGTGAGCGCCGAAAAACCCCTACTAAACTAAAACTAACTTGATACCTACAATGAATGGTGTTCATAATGCTAAAAACACACGCTCATAAAAAAGCAACCACACGAATATCTAGAGGACAGTTTAAGTATTGGTGTTGTAATTATATTTGGCAAGCTGCAAACTAATAAGTATATATCTTACGTAATAGCTGGCTGATTAAAAAACAACAACAATCACCTTACTTACTTGATTAATCATCTATGTGCTAACCAGATGTTCTAACAAACTGACCAACAAACGTACTGCATTTAGGGTGCTTGTAAAAAAGACCCACTTTAACGGCAATAACCCAGTCACCTTTTCATAATTTCAGTAAAACTATGAACAAATAACATTCAATCGAGGAGAAGTCAAGATTGTAATTATAAAGAAAACCAATCCAAACGTTCGAGAAACGTTAAGTTTTAAAAAGTTTATTCAACAATGGGTAAACTTTACTTCTTTACAAAAAGAGTTCACCTATAGGGGTGTTTTCGGGTCTACTTGGTTTGCGAAAGTGAACTGTAAAACAACGACAGTCACATCGTCCTTATACATGTACCCGATTCGGTTCGGTTTAGGTCATTTTCTGGTGGTTTCATTGCACACCACAAAATAGACACAAATAACAACACTTACCGTTCACAGGAAAGCCACACCATTGAACGATGGCTTCTCGGGCTCTTTTCGCGGTTTGAATTTTTTTAGGCAGTCTACAATCTCATAAATATAGGAAGGATCTTAAGATCTCAATGATCTTCTCGAGATTCATTTTGTTATGTTATGAAGTGTAATTTGTTACGGCACTTCGCACGAAAAAGCCTGACCTTGACATCGCAGTCACGATGGTCACGTGACTGGTAGGCTATAAAGCTTTGTTGTGATTTCCTGCACACAAACCGATCGCGGGACTCGCTGCCTTGAAAACAAACGCGTTTTTTTTTTAAAAGATCACAGTCGGTTTCGTTTAGTGTGTGCCACAATGGTCCCTTTTTGCCCTCAATTTGGCTAGCCCTGCCCACCAAAACCGAACCGATCGTGCCAACGGGCACTGGGTATCATATCACCATGTTGGGAAAGGTTTGGAGACATTGTAGGAGAAAAAGATGAAAGGCTGTCTCCACTGCGACGGACACCAACTGACCCGATTCCGTCCGTCTCTCGGAAAGTCGGTAGTTGAAATGGAGCACCAATTATTTCCTAAGAAAGCAGTGCAAGGTCCTTTTGGCTGTGTCAACAGACACGACACGACACGCCCCGACTAAAGACGCGTCGGTGGGAAAGCCGCTTGCTGCATTTCAGCCGGGCCGGCTTGTGACTCATAAACCATAAGCCCGTCGGCTAAAACCAAAAATTCTAATTTTGAGTTTGGATTAAAATTCTAATGTCATATTCGTTATCAGCGCTCAAAATTAGCTATGTCTACGCGCAAACCCCCTGGTTTGAATGCATATTAACAATTTTTCCAATTTTTCTTTAACCCCCCCCCCCCCAATTAATTTCTTATTCCCGCATGTGGATCATTGATCTGGACTATTTATAGCCCTGAACCAAGGACACAGCCTTGGGACATAGTGTGTGGAATAAGACAGCCAGTAGGCCAACAGACTAGACGTGTCTTGTCCGAACTGGTGGACAAACCGATTTTCTTCCTCCCGGCAAAAAAAATAAAGCTGTGTCAATCTCAGTGGACACGCAGGGTTAAAGAGGCCTTGTCCCTGTGAAATATGGCCCCACCCCACTCGTCAAGAAAGGTTTGGGAAACGCCTTGAATAGCCGAAAGTTTGGAAATGAAGGGTCACCATATTTCCCTGAGCTAAACGCTTTCAATGATTTCCCTCAATGTTGTTTTCTTTTTTTTAAATCTTTGACAGACTCTTTCTATGAAAACAACCCACACACAATCAAACAGCTGACGCTCAATGATGAAATGGAGGCTCAAAGAGTCGATCCAGAAATATGTCACATGAATATATATTCAAAATTTTCGTTTGCTTATTGGATATTTTTTGGACAGACATGGTCAACAACCGAGGCATGCAATTTAAATAGCCAGCATCTTTCTGAGTTCATTTGGAAAAAATCAGTTTTTGTTTGAATAAGTACTGTTCTTTAAAGCACACATAGCGGCTATCTGAAAAAAAACCCCAACACGGTTGATTTTTTAGAAGTTGCAAAATTTTTGCCTTTCACTGAATTTTGATTGAAATTATGAAAACTGATATTCTTCGAGTATGTCAGTTGATTTTCCTCCTATTTACAAATATGATGTCATCTTGGTTAAATTTTCTTTATTCAACATTTTGTAGAAATTAGCCCAAAGGTCACCAAGTAACAGTAATCTCTTTCCAGACACCACCCTGTTTGCCTACATAATAAGCTTGTTAAGGGGTATTAAAAGAGTTTATCTAGTGATCCTTGGAATGTTTTTGAGCGCGTTAGCGTGGTCCGCTCTTGTTCCCTAGATTTAGTTTTACTTTAGTCTTTTAAGTCATTGCAAATGAACCGGGAACGCTTAAAAATGTCTTTGGCAACGTCAGCAATTGTTATCTTTCTGTTCCACTAGAGAGCAATGTATAAAAGTAATAAGTAAGATAATGAAGTTGCTAGCATGCAGCCTGCCAATAAACTTACTAAATCTTTTTTCCCCAGGGGGATACCACGATGATTCTTCGGACTCCTCAGAAAGAACTTTCATCTTCAAGGACCAAGATACAGAGCCATCCTCTACTGTGGGTAAGATAATAGTATGCTCAAACCCTTGTCTTTTTTAACAGACTGCTGGTGGTGCAAGCGTAGAATTCATTGGACAACCGCTATGGTCAAATTTTCATAGACATAGAATGAATGAGTGTATGGGTGAACGATTGAACGAATGAATGAATGAATGAATGAATGAATGAATGAATGAATGAATGAATAAATGAATGGATGAATGAATAAATGAATGGATGAATGAATAACAAGTAATTATTTTTCTTCTTCTATTTTTCAATGATCATAATATGATGCACCTTGTTTTAGTAGCCACGTTTCAACAAAACTGATGAATCTCCGGCATTAAAAGACCCGTGTAAAATGTACTATTGTTTCGATGTGTTTTGTTTGATCAAAGTAGTCGGTGGTTTGAGGGTGTTTTTGTGCGGTGTGGCCCTTCTTTCCTATCACACACCTGCTGTCCCTATTTTTTCTCTTTTTTGTATATTATGTTTGTTATCTTTTCGAACACCTCTAATTTTCGGTAGTCTTATGACCTAATAGTGTTAAGTGTTGTAAGACTCTTAAAAATTTTGAAATGGTATGGTTTTAAGCCTCTATCAACACTATGAGGGTTTTTTGCGGGGGAGAGGCGGGACCTCCGAGTTTAGCATCCATCTCCGAAAGGACCTAGCCAAATGGGAATTTCCGGTAAAGTGACTTTCCCAAGGACACAAAGTCGGACCGAGCTGAGACTCGAACCTCCGAGCCCGCAACCTCACGATTACAAGTCCAGTAGCCTAGTGATTACTGATGCCAGTGTAAAACTCTTCCAAAACATAAAACATTTGTTTTTTGTTGTTTTTGTAAAGTGTTTTACGGCGCTCGCAACTGCATAAGGTCATATGAGCGCGCGGGACACACCTAATATTTTCAGTTGGTAGGAAATTTTGAATTTTGCCCGGGTGGCGGCCGAAGCCTAGTCTTATCGATTTTAGACCACCAAGGGATCTTTAACGTGCGCAACTTGCACACGGGCCCTCCGAGATTTTTCGCCCTTGTCCGAGAAGGCTAGGTGTAGATCTTTCCTACCAGAAGATCAGGGGTGTGGCAGAAAGACAGCAGTAAGGAGGAGCCAAGGAGTAGCAGTAGAAAGGCTGCAGAAAGAGTCAGGAGCCCAGAGGAGGGGGCAAAGGAGGTTAGGGGGTGGGGGGCAGAAAGTTGAAATGAAAGCAGACAACAGAACATTGCTAGAGAGCAGGAAAGGAGGTGAAAGGAGACAATTTTAGAGAAGAAAATTTTTGGTCGCTACCGGGATTCGAACCCGGGACCTTTGAATGAGAGGCCAACACCTTAACCTCTAGGCCACGAGAGCCCCCCACATAAAACATGATCAGGGTAATATCATTCAAAATTACAAAAGAGTCATCATATTGCTTTGTGTTTTAAAACCCCGGTTTGACCGCATTTCTTTTTTTCAGATAATAATGACGAAGTGTTCCTTGATGTTGTTGATCTCAATGACAGCCATACCGAGCGCCGTTGGGGGTGCGTCCTATCTTTTCTATGCCTGTCCCATTTTGTTGTTGTCTTTCTTCGTACTTTACAACACACACACACACACACACACACACACACACACACACACACACACACACACACACACACACACACACACACACACACACACGCGCGCGCGCGCACACAAACAAACACACACACACACACATACACATCAACACATACACACATACACACACACTAGCCCTCTTTTTACCAAAGCAAGCTTATTAAGAATACATTTTAAGAATACAAACCTGAAGGCCGGACGGCTGTGCATTTTACTTTGCATCACTAATGTTGTATCAAATGTACATTGTCCTATTATATGCACATGTGTAAATCGCTCGATTGAGAGTAATCTTAGCTGGTTTACCATAGATTCCTTGTGTTTTCTTTTTTGGTGTCAGTGATAACTTCCATCATGCAGGGCACAGTCGAGGTCTGTGACAAACTGGGCCTGTGACAAACTGGCATGCTTCCAAATAAACTGTTTCCCATTTCGAGAATCCTGTACCACTGAATTTTGAGGTCATAATTATATAGGCAGAACGTAATTGGGGCCTGTTAGTAAAAAGTTATGATGGATTGCCAACATGGTTAAAGCATATAAAAAAGAAAATGTTTGTTTTTCTTTAACCTGTAAAGTAAGCATAGATCTATGTTAGACCAGGATTGAGAATAAAATTTATTGTGCAGGGTGTTCCGAAATCTGCACATCGTCTTGTTTTTATTTTTATTATTTAAAAAAAATCAAAATCAGCTCTCTTGATATTAGTCTATGAGGACTGTTTGAATTCACCCCCCCCCCCCCCCCTTTACACTTTTCCCCCAAAGCAACTTAACAAGCACTGACTCTTCCAAGGTAGCTGCCATTTACCATTGTTAGAACTGAATCCTTCAAATAGTCTATGTCAGTGTATGAAAGGGGTTTTCAGGATGGTGCACGACTTTTTAGACAAATCGGCGAAAAACGTTTGGTCTAGACCTAGGTCTAACTCGAAGAGACTTGTGTGTGAAAGACTGTCAAGCAACCACTCACCGAGTGGATGTGCCGTGCGCGTGTGTAGCCTAGCCTAGTGTGTACTGTGTACTACTGACTGCCAGTTCGCTGGCGGTAAAACGGGGTACATTTACCCAAGAGGTAGTTTGATAAGGACCGTAGGCCTACAACTGAGATAGTTGGCAGGTGGCGGATGGCGGTGTAACGGCGCAAATACTAGATCTATGTTTATATAGGGGATTATTTTTGTACCTTGGCAAAACCTGACAGAAAGCGGGGCTGGCGGTATAGCGGGGGAAGTGCAACAAGGTTAGACTGTATAGTATAACGCAATCGCGCCTACGGTATTAAATGCGAAAGGAGAAAACACAAGACTGCTATGGCCTTCAACATTCAAACGTTGGAGGCTTTTCAAAAAGAAGATTTCAGAGTCGGTGCAATTCTGAATTACGCAAAACAACTATACGAATATCACTTGTTTTTATCGACACTGCGTTTCAGACTTTATTGCAAGTCTCTGTATAAACGAATTTATTCTTATTTCACCCTGGTTGTTTTGTTCATAAGACCACATTTCTAGAATTGCATTGTCAATAAACCTATTGCTATATATTTTCAAGTTAATCTGAATTGCTATAGAGTAAGGTGTTTAAGAATAAAACTGTTTGTTGATTTCGTTTTTTTTTTGTTGTTTTTTTTTGTTTGGGTTTTTTTTGGTTGCTTTACGAGCTGCTTCATATAAACGTACACATAGTTCTCCAAACACACAATATTATCTTTTCTGTCTTTTGATACCTGTTTGACTTCAATGTTTCCTAGTTCCAGATCTCCTCTGTCGAGGAGGTAAATAGTTTATTCGATAAAATAACAACCCGAACTTTACTAGAACCAAACATGTATACGGACACAGCACATATTGTCTGAAAGACCCCCCATCGTTCAGTTCAGCATCATATTCTCACACTGATACTATTCAATTCAATTATCCTACTTGGTATGCTTTCCAACACCCTCTCCCCTCACTCGTACTTCGTTTCTCTCTTTCTATTTTTCGCGTTATCTCTCTCTCTCTCTCTCTCTCTCTCTCTCTCTCTCTCTCTCTCTCTCTCTCTCTCTCTCTCTCTCTCTCTCTCTCTCTGTCTGTCTCTGTCTCTGTCTCTGTGTCTGTCTGTCTGTCTCTGTGTCTGTCTGTCTGTCTGTCTGTCTGTCTGTCTGTCTGTCTGTCTCTCTCTCTCTCTCTCTCTCTCTCTCTCTCTCTCTCTCTCTCTCTCGCCTTGTCACTCTCTCTCACCCATATCACGTATATAACGTGATCAACTCAGTGCGTAACTAACCAACGCATTTGACAAGATGGCTCCACCGTTTGGTCATACTTCTGAACTACCTTCATTTTACTATTGCCTGTATGTTCCGTTTTTCCCCCTTGTATGAAAATCCGCTATTGTGACCGTGTCCATGTCTTTAACTCAAACATAACTCGAAAAAGCCAAGCGCACTGCAAAGTGGCTATCGCTCAGTGGCTCACCCCCTTCCCCCCAATCCCATCCCACCCACTCCCAAAGTCTCAGCCTCACCCCCACTCCATCACAACCCAACCCATTTAATTTCTGTCTCCTTTAAAAGCGCTCGTCTCCGAAGCGGAATGACCGGGTTCGAGCCCTGGTTCGGACACGAATTTTTTTTTAGCCCTCTCCTGCCCACCCAGCAGTAATGGGTACCCGACTTCGGGTTGGAGAAATGAAGGCGGCTTGGAAAGGAATTGGCCACCTTACCACAATATGCCGAAGGCCCAGGAAGTTGTCTCACTAACAAGGCAATCCCCAATGTCCGGTTTGGATGCGGGAACAACTTTACTCCCTTTAAAAAAACACCTGTTTAAGGGTGTGGAAACAGATTTCCCTCTTCGGTACAGACATTTTCCGAACTGCATGATGTTTTTCTGTGTTGTAGGGACCGTTGCAACAATGCAGCAGCAGCCCATACCTCCGTCACAAATACCATGCCGTCGGAGCGATCCTCTAGGATTTCAAGATTGTCTTCGAGGTGAACATTTCGCAAACAATCTGTTTTCTTTACTTGATGGCGGGGAAAATGTATTTTTGAGTAAGGCAGATTTCTTTGTCTTTCAATTTCTGTATTCGTTTGAAAGTTGTATTGTTAAAATAATGTTTGGAACGTTAGTCAAATATCCAGTTGCTTACGCCAACTCCAGCTGTCGACGTTTGAGAGAGGGTCAAGTGGGAAAAACGTGGAAAGGTGTGTGTGTGTGGGGGGGGGGGGGGGGGGCGAGAGTAAGTAATTTTCTTTCTTTTTAGTTTTGACTTAGCTAATGATTCCACCAGCACATTGTTGTAAATCTTGTTATGATGGATGTACTTTTTATCCTCGCTGGTACGAATGTCTCGAAGCAGAAAAATGTCATTCCTCTTAATATAATGTTGCAATAAATAGACTGTAGTCATATTATTATTATTATTATTATTATTATTATTATTATTATTATTATTTTAGAAACACCGATACAATAAAGAGGAAATAGTTTATACTGTCTGCAATCTCGTAAATGCTAATTATATATTGTGGGATTTTGCTAGTAATGTAAAACATGAAATACCAAAGTGAAAGAAAATGTTCAAGGGTTTCAGATATAAATTCAATGAAAGTATTCGAATGTGCGTAAACCCTGTTGACGTCCTTTCATTTCAAGGAGAAATAGCAATAAGAGCATTTCAATGGCTACATCAAATAGTTGCAGTTGGACGGATAGGGTACGCTAGGAAAGGTTTTGCTGTTTTGTTTCCTCAAGGATTATTAGAGTATCCCACGAGTAGGTCCCACATCTCTTCTTTCGCAAAGTTTCTTTTTGTCTGCTGACCCCATTCATTTTTCTTGCCACTAAATTAAATAACAGTTGGTGCGTCGGTGGGCTTCTCTGCATTCGAGTGGATGATTGGGGGGGGGGGGTGCTCTTTTGTGGTTTGCTCCTTCTTTCCTGTGAAACATCCATCGTCCCAATCTCTCTAATCCTTATTTTCTTTACACTTTGCCTTCTAGCAACACCTCTAATCTTCGGCACTTTTTTTTTTATCTATTTGTGTTGCATGTGCCGTAGAATTGTCTTTCTAAAATCCGTATACCAATATCAATAACCCGTCCCGAAGACGAACCATGGCCATGAGACAGTCCAACCTTTCAAAGACGTCAGTAAGGTCCGCGACATCAGCGGTGTCAAGAGACCAGCTTTCTCGCAGTCGCAGTCACAAGGGGTGAGTCTTGATCATTTCTATCTTACTACATCTAACACACGTTTACCCCCCCCCCCCCTTTCCCCTCCCCCTTTCTCTCTCTCTCTCTCTCTCTCTCTCTCTCTCTCTCTCTCTCTCTCTCTCTTCTCTTCTCTCTCTCTCTCTTTCTTACTCTCTCTTCCCCTTACTCTTTCTCTCTTTGTGTGTCACCCCCATTTCCCTCCCTTCCCCCTTCACCACCACCACACACACACACACACACACACATGTGGGTGGTTGGCGGGTGCTTTGGTGTGGTTTGCTCCTTTTTTCCTATCAAACATATATCGTCCTTATCTCCCCTCCTTCTTTTTTATGTTTATTACTCTCTTGTAACACCTCTAATCTTCTAGCGCTTATATGCCCTTATGCAGTTGCAAGCGCCATGAAACCTCTACTAAAACTAAACTAAAACACACACACACACACACACACACACACACACACACACACACACACACACAGAGAGAGAGAGAGAGAGAGAGAGAGAGAGAGAGAGAAAGAGAGAAAGAGAGAGAAACTAGAGATACACAAAGACCCTCTCACATAGAAAGGGAGAAAGAGAAAGAGAAGAGAGAGAGAGAAAAGAGTGAAAGAGAGAAAGAAAGAGAGAGATAGACACACACAGAGAGAGAGAGAGAGAGAGAGAGAGAGAGAGAGAGAGAGAGAGAGAGAGAGAGATAGATATATATATATATAAGAAGGGGGGGGGGGGGAGAGACCATACATTTCCATCTTAAACTAAACCCTACTTTTACTTTCTCCATTTTTTAATATACCGATGTGGGACTCTGTGACATCGTATGCTCTCTTTACATCCCTTCAACCTTTCAGCTTTTGCCATATTCTGTTCAGGACATTCTGCTCAGTTCTTATAATTATTTCCTTTCATTTCTCTGCCTCATTCTTGTCCCTAACACTAAATAACGGTTAATGTGTCGTTGAGCTTCACTTTAGCTTCAGTAAGCTAAATGGCCATAATTTATAAGACAAATATGTTTGTCGTTTCACAAAGTCTTTCCAAGCCACAAAAAATCATTTACTGTGTATGGATATTTTCTTCTCATCTTCTAAAAAACTGTTTATCAAACATCCTGAAACGACAAATACTATCATGTATTGTTATCTCTTCACTTCATGCTTGCTTCTTTTACTCTTTTGAGCGGGTGGGGCGAGGGTGCTACTTGGTAAGTCCTATTTTTTTCTTTTAGACTGTTGTTTCTATCTTTCTTGCTTCTTCCTTTCATTATATTATTACCATTATTTGCTACCTCAAAAATACCGAGTTCTATCCGATATATTTCGCCGTTTTGAGGTACTAAGACAATGAGTTCAGAAGCCAAATTAAAAATGTTCTATCTGCTCTAACAAAATCGTACGATCTTTCGGAGTAGTTATCAAGATATTCCAAGGATTGCATTCGAAAAGGCTTGGCATGTTGAACTCAATTTTTTTACGTCAAATTTCTCAAAACTAGGTACTCACCAGATAGAACTTTGTAATTCTAATGTAGAGCATTGTGTCGATGGTCTTTTATTTACTCAAACCCAAACCCAAACCTAAACCCTCACTCTTTGCCTTTGATGTAAACGGGTGCAATCCAAGTAGTTCAAAAAAGTGTATGTGATCTGTTATGGCCCGGTTACACGTAAAGATAAATAATTGTACAAAAACTTGGCGATCTAGCGATCATACGATAACTCGTCAGGTATACCCAGAATTGTACAAAATTTGGACGACTGGACAATGGCTTGGAGAGACTCGGTCAAGAATTCAAGCGCTGCTTGATATGTTTCGTGCATTCACGTTCAGATTTGGGGAGACGCTGTGACGTCAATCACTTTGAAATTTGCCGCAGCGCAAGATTATAATTGGGGCGCAAAATTTAAAAATAATTATCGCATCTTAAAACTGATTTCATATTCGGAATCAACGTCTCAAAACAAGGTGAATAGCTTCCGAGGAACCTGATTTGAGGCGATATTTAGTAATATTTTGCAATTTTATTCTTTAATTGGTCGTCAATAGTGAGGTTGTGTATTAAGGTCACTTCTACTTCTATACACAACTCGGTATAGGGGCTACCCTTTTCTAAAGACACTGTTCTGCTATCTGGTGTTTTCCGTGATCTAGAGGTTCAGTGTTCGCTCTTCAATCATTCATTAGGGTCCCGGTTCGAAACCTTCTCATAGAGAGTAGGCAAACCACTGTCGTCGCAAAGACACATGGTGTCTTATGACGAGGAATCTCCTCGACCAAAAGAAAACTGGACGATAGATTGGAACGTGTAAACAGACAGCATAGTTCGATAAAACGGACAGTTCTCGCACACGATGAATCTGATCCAATTTATTGTTGCATGTAACCGGGGCTTTACTTTGTTTTATGCAATTTCAGCAGATTAATAGTATTTCGAAATGATTCTTTTCACTTTCGCGAGCTGTAGGACGGCGCCGGTGGTAAGTCCTACTTTTTTCCTATCCATCTGCTCTTCCTGTCTATCTGCCTCGCTTTTTGTCCTTTCGTGGGTAACCACAGGTACTCTGGTGTGGTTTGCTAGTTCTCCCATATCATTCCTTCTTCTTTTCTTTGTATGTTACTCTCGCGTAACACCTATATTCTTCGATTTTTATTTGAACAAATTGTTTGCAAGGGCCATGGAACTCGAACTAAAACTAACCTTTTCCTTACAGTATGGCTGTTTTCATATTGAAATGTTGGCTCAAACAATTTAAAAAACAAACAAACGAAAAAGTGAATAGAAACAAGTTTCTTTTCATATTGTAATCTCTCCCCTTTCTCTCTGGTGGTCAGGTTGCCACATTCACTGTATCAGCTCCACTCAAGGGCTGTGAGTGCGCGGGGTCGATCTCAAGCCTCGATCTCTTTAGTAAAGACGGAGATGGAGCTCGAGTCCGAAGCAGTTCGCCACCGAAAACGGAGAAAAAATGTAAATAGATCTATGAATAATTGTCTCGTGATCTCATTAAAATAGTATTGTGCCTCAGAGTTTTGTATTAAAGCAGGATGTACCACTTTAGAGGGGACTAGAAGCAGGTTCAACTATGTTTAAAAAGGCACAATGAGAAATAAATTCCAATTTTAAAAATCCCAATTGGTGTCCCCCCCCCACCCCTTCCCTCCCCCGGGTCCACTTGTTTTAACAGACGTACTTACACTTAAATATTATTATGTGAATAATCACATACAGACACACGCACAAACACATGCAGATACACAGACAGACACACCTACAAACAAACAAACTAACAAACACATACATACATACACACGCACAAATACAAAAACACAAACACACACACGCACGCACTCACTCACGCACACATGCACGCACGTGCACACACACACACACACACAC